CGCCGGGCCGGGCCTCCTGGCCGCCTCCGTGCGGGGCCCTGACCACGGGGCAGGTGACTGTGGGGCCAGGTGCCTTTCTCACTGTCACTCCTAAGGGAATTCTCTCCATTGGCCTCTGTGCACCCTAGTGACCTGATGCACAAGCTTCCAGGCCACAGGCAAAGGGCCCTGCGGCCACTCCTGGGCTACTGAGCTCCGCCAGCTCCGGGGAAGGACTGACAGTCCCTCTCTCTTGGCAGCAAGGAGCAAGGCCCAACCCCCGTGGAGAAGAAGAAGAAAGGGAAAAGGAAAAACGAGAGCCCAGTGGAGAGTCTGGAGTTGGATCCAGGCCTCCTGAGTCTGTGTCTGCAGAGCCCTGAGGAGTCTGCCTGCGGCCACTCCTGGGCTACTGAGCTCCGCCAGCTCCGGGGAAGGACTGACAGTCCCTCTCTCTTGGCAGCAAGGAGCAAGGCCCAACCCCCGTGGAGAAGAAGAAGAAAGGGAAAAGGAAAAACGAGAGCCCAGTGGAGAGTCTGGAGTTGGATCCAGGCCTCCTGAGTCTGTGTCTGCAGAGCCCTGAGGAGTCTGCGGAGTCGGCCGACAGCCAGGTGAGGTCCCCGGGGCCGTTTCTCACCTGGGCCTTGGGCAGCCAGGGAGCCTTGGCCAGGGGGCAGGCGGGCGTCAGGGGCCGGGCGATGGCGTCAGGGGGCAGGCGATGGCGTCTGGCCCTTGGCCTTTTCCCCCGCACCTCGCTGCCCAGCTCTGTGGGGCTGGAGAGCCCTGCTCCATCCCCCTCTGATGGGGATTCACCATTCCCAGCAGAACGCTTGCCGGGTTGTAAGCTGCTCTGGAGGGGGCAGGTGGCCTCCACACCTCTGGGTGCCTACTGGGCTAGGCCCGAAACTGCAAGCCAGGCGCCTGCGGGGGGAGGGGGCATGAAGAGGCGCCCCAGTCAGCGGTCACAGTGATGGCGGGGGCACGGGGCCGGTGCCCAGAATGAAAGTCCCTGCCCCCAGGGCCGGAGTGCCAGGTGCCAGGTTCCTGGGGCGCGTGAGCTGCTGGGTGGCCACAGTGGGACTAGCTGGGAGGGGGAGGTGCGGCTGCCCCCGCCC